ATATATATATATATATATATATATATAAATAAATAAATATATATATATATATATATATATATATATATATAAATATATATATATATATAAATATATATATATATATATATATATATATATATACATATATATATATTATATATATATATATATATATATATATATATATATATATATATATATATATATATATATATATATATATATAAATATATATACATATATATATATATATATATATATATATATATATATATATATATATATATATATATATATATATATATATATATATATATGTATATATATATATATATATATAAACATATATATATATATATATATATATATATATATATATATATATATATATATATATATATATATATATATATATATATATATATATATATATATATATATTAAACGTTGATTATTTCAACGTTAAGTCAACGTTCCAGTTTAAACGTTGATTATTCAACTTTATTTCAACGTTAAATCATTGTTGATAAAAAATGCAATACAGTTCCGATATAAATTTATGCGCGCGATGAAATCGAAGTAAAAATGTAAACATTATTTTAACGGTTTATAGAGATTTTAAAAAAGGCTAGCGGTAATTGCCGGCAGACCGGCAAATAATTTTGAGATTAATTGCCGGCAGCGCGTGTAAAGAAATAATTTGAATGTATTAAATACCACTGATCTCAAAATAACAATTAAATAGCGTATTCTAATGTTTTTCGCAAAAAAATTTGAAGCCAATTTTAGCCTACCAAGATGGCGTCGATTAGAACTGTTAGCGGTTTGAATCGTTTAAAAATTCTGACCGAATAAGAAAAATAGACTATTTTTAAGGAAAATAAGATGGCGAAATAAATTTATTTGATTCCTAATTATTAAAATATTCAGCTAGTATACACTTTTTAAATGAGGTTTATAATTTATGTACCTTTTAGTTCTTAATTACCCAATCTGTGTGCTAGAAGGTTAATAACACAACTGTATGGTAAGCAGCAACGTTGTCTACCTACACTCTTTAACGAATTTTAAAATCAAGAGTTTTGTAGGTAGAAACATTATTGTACAAATGCTGTATGAACTATTAGCTGAGAATTGTGAGTACACACAACTCAGAGGTTCCTTCGAGGATTATAAAAGTCATTTTATTATTTAATGCATTAACTTTCTGGACTCAATAATCAGTGAAAATATAAAACAATATTTATATTCCAAAGTAAAAAATAATCTCTTAATGACTTAGATTTAAAACTATAGTCAAACTCAACTGTGAATAATTATTCCTCAAAGTTTGAAGGATAATTATTGACAGTTTAACACATACATAGAATGTAAAGATGTAACATATGTATGTTACATTTTATTAAGAATAAATTCTCTATAGAAGGTTTGGTTAAACCAAGCTAAAGTGTTGTTTTGGTATTCAAAGGAACAGAAAGATTATTCCAAAGGTTTCTTACATCAACAAATATTTCTCTGCCTAATGATATAGGAATTAAAAATCCAAATGCAAGTGTTATTTTGAGATCATTTGATTTATCAAAAGTATTCACAGAACTAACTCATCATATGCTTGATTCGTCTTGAACTGATAAGCATTTATTTTCACTGGTTAAAGTTATTTCAAAATATTACTCAAAAATACACTTATCATCTACGCAAAGAAGTAACTAACAAATACACTGGAAAAAAGTTTAGGAAGCAGTTAATTAAATTTATCAAAAATCAATGAAAACATTTGTTTTTAATATACCATTTTAGTGCACAGATATGGTAAGTAAAAATTTTGGTCAAATTGAGATAAGTACACAGAAAAACCTGTTTTTATTTATAGTTTATCGTGCATAAATATGGTGTGTATACGATAAACGATAAAGAGTCTAATAATTGACAATATGCGGTAAAAACAAAAACTCTTCTTATTATAATTACGCACGCTAAAGACAGTTTCTACAGTTTTTAATCTTGCACTTACATCTGTGCACTATGCCATCGATATATACACAGTAAACTCCTGATAACTCAAACCTTTAAAAAATTGAACTTCCAGTATTTGCTCGGACACTTAAAGGTTACGACTTATCAGGAGTTATATATGCATATATATAATATACATATACGTAATTTTAAATGAAAACTTCAATTACTAACAAATAGGAAAATTTATAACAGTATTCTTCGAAATTTTACAAGGTTGCGTTTTTTTGCCTCCGTGTTTTTAAAAGAGAATATCACAAGCGAAGCTAATCTTTTATATTATAATATATATATTTATATATTAATATAATATATAAATATATATATTATAATATAAAAGATTTATATATTATAATATAAATATATTATAATATATAAATTTATATATTTTTTTATGTACATACATATACTGAAATAAATATACAATTCCAAAAACATTTTAGCTAAAAAATGTTAATCCGAAGAAGCAAAAGTGGATGGCGTAGTGCCAGTAAGATGGTATCGATATGATCTAGTCTCAATTAAGTTAGTCGCAGGTAAGTGTTTTAAAAATTTTACCGTTTATTTTTAGACTAATTTTTTAAAGTTTTTCGCTTGAAGAACGTTGTTTATTACATATTAAATTAAAATATTTATATTCAGACAAAAAATAAAACCTTTAAACAATTTCTATTTATATTTACTTGTTCAAGTGAACCATAGCAAAAAAGAAGCATTCAGTAGGCTTGCAATTTTTTTTAAATTTTCTTTTAAATGATCTAAATAATTTTGTTGTTTTTATTAAGTTTAATGATGAAACTGTTTATACAAAAGATTTGCTCTTTGAATTTTATGTTAAATATGTTATTTCCTTGTTAACTGTTGTTTGTCATTAACAAAGCATCAACAGATTTATCTTTAGAACTGCTCGCAAAAGTTTTGGTTTCGATACAAAAAACCAAGTAAAAATGATTCTGGAAAGGTACACTTTCTTATATCTAAACATCATTGCAGCTTTTTTAGTCTTTTCGTTTATGTGTATTTCATCTGTGTTGCTAATGATATCACCAGTTTTTATGATTTTATGTTGTTAAGTAAAGCATCCGTATGTTTCAGACTAAAATAGAGCTTTGACTAATACTTATTTCCAGTTTAAATGAATAACAACTCTCAAGGTGTATTAGCTGAATTATTTTTTTGTTTTGATAGTCTTTACTCAATAACGGATTTTTAAATTGTTATGAGTCTACAACAATTAATTTCAGCAAAATTCAATTAAAAAATCATGTTATAGAAGACAGAAAAATATCAATATCTGTTTTCAATAACTTGGCTTTGATAGAAAATCTGAGAGGAGCAAATGTTTAGCTTGATTTAAGTACTAAATAATAAAATACATCGTATTTTATTATGCAGTAATTAAATCAAGCTATTATTTAGCACACTCATTTTTATATATTTTTAGACTGTTTACCGTTTGACTCCTGTCCCAATCTAACCTAGTGGGTTCGAAAAGATAGGTTCGGGCTAGAAACATGAGTGGATTAAAAGGATCAGCCCTGTTTGAACTAATAGTCGGTGAGTATAATGTACTCCACTCAGCTAATCAAGTTTGGTTTGCTTTTTTTGTATTACATTTAAGCAATAGACTGTTTTTTATGTTCACTTGTTTTTTAGAAGTGGTAACCAGCTAGAAGTCGTAATCTGCTCGTATGAAAGGATTTCTCGACGTGAAGTTGTTAATTTTATTCAACAACGCCAAGAAACAGAGCTCGCTCAAGAAACAGAAAAAAAAGAGAAAGATGAAAAAATATTCTGTTGAACAATACTATTGTTTTATTTATAAATTATTCTCCTATATTTAAACATATAAAAGATGTAGAAAATGCTTCATCTTTTATATTGTCATCTAAAAGAGGTTGTTTTCTCGGCATCGGAAAAAGCTATTTGTCATACTTTGTATGAAAAGCTATTATCATTTTCATTTAAAAAAAAAATAGTTTTTCATATAAGAAAAGTAGGAATACTATAATGTATAGGATACTATAGTATATTAATAAGTATGGCAAAAAAGTCGTTCCGATCCCGAAACCAAACACTTTTTTAGAAGTGCATAATTGATAAACAAAGACGTCTTAATGACGCATTTTTTATGTCTTTTCATGACAAGATCAAAGACAAAAAAGACGCATTTTCGATGTCGAAAAAAGATGTCGTTTAGATTTGCATATTCGACTAAAAAAATTTTTTATGTCTTTTCTTGAAAAAATTAAGATAAAAAAAGACGTCTTTTCGATTTCGAAAAAAGATGTCGTTTTTTTTTTTTTTTTTTTTTTGCATAATCGGTTAAAAAAAGACCTCTTAAAGACATCGTTAATAAGACTTTTAAAGACGTCTTTTTTCCCATTGGGGTGTTTTTGTAATATTTAATTATCCTCTTTAATTTTTTCATTTTATGGCAGTTTTTTTAGATTAAATAGGAATCCTCACTTTGACTCCAATTTCGAAAACTTGTCCATCCTTTCTATTAAAGATGATTTAATTGTGTTAAATGCAAGAAAACATATATTTTGCAAGATTCTTATGGGCTAGAACTTTATTTGTCTTCTTTTTTATAAAGAAATTTATAAAAAAGTCTTTCCTTTATTCACTGGCACTTTTTATTAAACAGTGGTTCGATGCCAACTTCCGTAGCTATTTTATTTTCTTTAGAATTTGAGTAAATTAATTCTTTTTTTTCAGAAGCCAGAACTCTAACCACTGCTCTTAGGCTCATTATAGTTAAATGGTAAATGTAGAAACCTCTTTTTAAATTTTAATTTGAGAATAAATTCTAAAGGTTAATAAGAGTAAATATATTATTTATGAAATAAATTAAAAAGTGACATCTTGCAATGATTTAGCAAAATTTATGACATCGTAAATGCAATTACAATTATAAATGAATTTAACTTATAAATTAATAAATTATTTGACGGTTGAAAAACTATTTAAAAAATACTGAAAAACTTTAAAAATTAACTTAAGTTTAAAAAAAGTGTTTTATTTACGACTAGTATCATAGAAACAGTAGGTACTTTTTAAAAAGGTCCATCACAGGATTTTACTAATAGCTACAAAGAATTACCAAGGTAAGTTAATGCACGTTGTAGTTTTTTATAAAGGAGCACATTGCGTTATTTTCATATCTATACACATTAAACTCTTATTTAAAATTAATTTTCTGGTAATGCATTTTAATGAGGTATCACTTACTGTTCTTAAAAAAGTTATGTAACTACAGTGTCACGAAATGATTTCTAATATGAACCTCGTGACCCAAGAAAATCCTTTTGGGGTATGATAGTAGGAATATATAAGAGTGTATTAGAAGTAATTTTAAAATCTTTTGTCATCGTCCGTGGAAGAAAAACTGATTTGCAGTTTGAGCATTTTCAAAGTTTTTTGTGAAGTCAAAGCAATTAAAAAGCTTATTTTAAGGCAGAGTTTGCCATATTTTGTCATAAAGGTTGCAAATAAAGATATTGTTACATCAGTTATATGCATTGTTTGTTTATTTGAAAAAATTCGGGAAAAGGCTAAATGCAAAAGCATTTTTTTAGAAAATTTTAGGAAGAGCGCAAGTGCAATCAACATTTTTAAAATGTCTAATCAAGCAAAATGTCATGATGAAAACAGGAAAACTGTATGTTTTCTTTGTTTAAATAAATCCTCTAGACAACTCACTGCTGCTATGATTGAAAGCTGCCACAAAGTCTTTGGCCGACCAATCAACTTTGAAGACCAAAGAGTTTCATTTGGAGTTTGTCTGCACCAAAGGAATGCTTAGACAAAACTAACTTGAAGTTGCATCTAAAAATGAAAAAACTACTGAGAGGGTGGCTGCTAGAAAGATTGCCAACAGTTTGAATCACTTGGAAAGCATCTTTGTGATTTGTTTATCACCTGCGACATTATGGACACAACCAAAACTGACAGCCATGAGTCCAAGAGATTACTTATGCACTGCAAAGATCTTATTGCTCTGAGAAACACAGTCTTCCAAATTCTAGGTCTACAGTCAAATGAACTTATAAAGATTGGAATAAATGGAGAAGGAGATTTCTTGATATTTTCTCAAGGAATAATTGCCTTAGAAGCGCTGAATAACTCTCCACCATCCAAAACGCCTCTTTTCAAAGATTTAGGTGTGAAACGCCAAAAAGTTGGTAGCTGTTTCTGGTAATCTTTGTAAAACAACTTCTTGAAAAATTGTGCCTTGAAAGGATGTCTTTTATGTTGTCCTGTGACATAAAACTTACCAACATCATCTGTGGTTTACAGTCTCATTCCAGTGCATATCCTTGTACTTGGTTAGCCATTGAGTCTAAGTGGTGTGCTCCAAACTTTTGGATCTATTCAGAATAACTATACAGGCTTCCAAGCTGCAAGTGGCCAAGAAAAAAGAAAACGAGACTTTCTAAATGTTGTGCATCAGCCTGCTATCAGGTTGCCAGATGATACACACATCTTAGACTTTATTCCACCAATGGAACTTCACCCCGTGACCCAAGAAAACCCAAGGGTTTTCTTGGGTCACGGGGTTCATATTAGAAGTCATTTCGTGACACTGTGAGTTTTTTTTTCGAATTTTTTTTCAAATTTCAGTGAATTATCTTTTAGATTTTTCAAAGTAGTAACTCTGAAGTTACGACTTTGAAAGTTCTAAGAGGTAAAACTTAATAAGGTTATCTTTTAAAAAGTAAAACTTTATAAGGTGACTTCTTATATTTATGAATCATTTACTCATTTGTTTCAACTAATTTGGTGTCAAACCTGACATCTTTTTGTTCCAATATCTAATTACGGCTATATTTAAATTTATTAAAACTTTTTTTAATAATTTTAGAAACTGGAATGGAGGCAAAAAAAGGAGAAAAGATTCTTGACTTTGTTGCTAATAAAGATAAGAAAGATGCTGTGTCAATAGCTAATGAAGTCAACGATCATTACGATAAGAGCAATGATTACCGTGGATCGTTTACAATACATGGTTTGTCAAGAGCTCTTACTGGTAATTTTTATGAAAATATTTTTTGGGGATTTATAGTGTTATCAAGTTTCACAGCCATAGCAGTCGTAGCCTGGAAATTAGCAATAAAGTACCAAAAAAATGAAGTTTACATTAAATTTTTCTCCAAAGAGTATTCAAAATTAAATATGCCAATTTTAACAATTTGTCCAAATAGAATTAATAAACGAAGAATATGCAACTTAACCAATGATTGTATGAACAACTCTACTGACATCAGTACGCTTTATATAGAAAATAGTTCTTACGCATGGTGGAACGATGAAATGTCAGTTATTGTTATAAAAGAATCAAGAAAATCAGTTAAAACAGGAATTGAGCTAAGAAATTATATAAAAAGTACATATTATCAGTGCATTAGAATGAATCTTAGTTTTTTTGATATATCATCTTCATCTTCAAATGGCATACATGTTTACACAATTTATCCAAAATCTTATATTGAAGTATATGTTCATGACGAAAACGAGCAATACCCTTTTTTTCAAACTAAACCAAATTATATTGAAGCTTTGGAAAGCGATGAAATAAACATAGAAATTGTTCAGTACAATAGACTAAAGTACCCTTTTTCATCAAATTGTAGTCAGGCTTTAAAAGATATGATATTTCCGGACAGCTACACTAAGCTAAAATGTGTCGAATCATTAAAATGCATGAACTCGTTTAAAGCTTGTGGAAAAACCTATGATTTTTGTGAACAATTTTTAAACGATAATTTTAGAGTTAAATACGCAAAAAACCTTTCTGCGCTTGATTTAAAAATATTGACCAAATGTTTAAAATCAGAGTATCAAAAAAGTTACGACAATGAGTGTGCATTGGCTTGTGACGAAAGTATCTTTAAAATAATAATGTCTTACACAACCCAATGTAGTTGGCTTCAAAATAACGCACGAGAAATTTATGTTAATTATCCTTTAGGCCCATACTTTCACGTATTTGAAGAAGCGCAGTTGTATAATTTTGAACAATTTCTTTCTGAATGTGGTGGGTTAATTGGTTTGTTTACAGGAAGTTCAGCAATATCCATAATAGAACTAATCACATTTTTATGTCTGGTTTTGATAAAATACATATTTAACAAAAGCAATAAAAAAACACCTTGAACACCTAAAATAATATCTAGATTTGCATTTTTTATTACATTAGTTTTAATAAAATGAACTTAAAAAAAAGCATTTTAAAATATGAAAAATTTGTTAAGTTTAACGTGACATAATTTGTGCTTGGTAATGTTCTAAATTCGTAATGCACCGGTTGGTTACAAAGTTTTCTGATTTTTCTATTGTAAATAAACTTATGCTTTACGTGGTTAAACATTTATTCAGCTCAAAACTTATTTGTGATGTTGCGCAACTCAAAAATGGACTTACATATATCCAAAGTTAGTTTCGGTTCCACTCTGAATCTAAAATCAACAAATTGTTTTTATAATTAAAAAGATAAGTAACGTAGCAAATATATATGGATAAAAATACTTTGGAACATTCTTACTTTAGTAAATACAAAAAAAAAAAAAAAAAAACATTGTTAGATGGATTTGTGTGTAATTATTGTTATTATTATTACTATTATTGTTATTATTATTATTGTTATTATTATTTGACGTCAGAACTCGTTTTATTAATTTAGTTTTTAACGGTTTTTTAGTTGTATATTTAAACAGTTTTATCATCTTGATTTAAATGTATGGCTGATATGTGCTGAAAATGATATAAAACTTTAAGTATCAATAAAAAGTTGTGGTAAAATGTAAACTTTTTCACTTTCAACAACTAATCACTATATTTTGAGTAATTAGGTAACATAGGATAGAGTCCAGCGGGCACGGTAACGTCCATATGACGTCGAAAGGACGTCTTTTTAGGACGTCCAGAACTGGTTCTAAATGGCAACGCCAGATGACGTCTTTTTAAGACGTTATTAGGACGTCTTTTTAGGACGGAAAAAAAACTTGTTTTGAGACGTCTAAAAGACGTGAATTTAGGACATTCAGAACTAGTGCTAAATGGAAACACCGAATGACGTCTTTAAATAACCTAATTTAGACGTTCTTATTTCGACGTCTAAAATACGTGTTCTAACATGGCTTTACTTAAACGTAAGGTTCAAATTTATGTTTTCACAGAACTTCTTTAGAATAAGAAAAAAAAAAAACAAGTCGTTTAAATTTTTTAATAATATAATTGTGCTGAGTTTTATAAATTACAATTTTGTAAACTTCTTTTTCCACTTGTTGAATCAGGGAAGCAGCCTTAACCTTAAAGAAGTATTGTTAAAATAAGTATGTAAAAATAAAGGGGAAAGAAATAAATAACACACACACACAAATATATAATTATTATTTTATAAACCAAACATCAAACATCAAAAAATACGAATTTCTAAATACTAAATTTATTTTTTTTAAGAAATTTTTGACTGGATTGTTGTGACCAGCGTATATATTTATGTATATCAAGTATGCAATATAATTGCGGTATTAAAAATGCTCTTTTTATAGAAAAATTATACTTACTTTAAAATCATGCCTTTCTCAAATGCACTGCATGATGAGCCACCAACATTTAATAACTTCTATTTCTAAATTCAAAAGATAACAAAAGTGTAATTGAATGAGACAATTTAGTGTAAGTTATATTGGGCATAAGAGCAATTCATTAGTGTTTTATTCAATTCAAAAATTTTGTGTAAATTATGTTTATTTGTAAAGTGAGCATTATGTATATAATTAATGATCAAAATTTTTTATGTAATTTACCCTTATAAAAAAAAAAAAAATATTTAACCATGATAAAAAATATACTACTTTTTGCAACATTAGTATCGAGAAATGATTAATCACATTCAAGAAACTTGGCGATAGAATCATCCTAGTAAAGATCAAAACTATTCTCAACATTGAACTGTCGTCCACTGCTTTCTAAATTTATTAAAGAAACAACAGATAGATAGTGGCTAGATAGCTCAGTTGGTCACAACGTCAAACGAAAAGTTAAAAACCTGGACTATTGAACAATACAAGTTCACATCCTGCCACCGCCAACACAGCGCTTGAGTAGTATTTTGGTACGCAAAAATGTTGGTCAATAACGGACGCTACTTTGGATTAGTTAATTAGTTAATGTGTAGAACGGTTGAAAATCCGATAAAAATATATTCAAAAATCTATTTACCTGAGTGTAACTAAGGAAAGTAACTGGTTGTGAAGCAGTATAGGTACCCATAGCAACTATGTTAAAAAAAACTATGATTTCTATATAAAGTATGACCTCGTAATAGTATTCATGCTAAATTTAGTAAATAAGCACTTGTAAAAAATATGCAACTATCAAAGTAGGTTGTTGCTATTTCAATTAGGTATCCACTAAACTAGGTAACCATGGCAACCAAATAATAAATATCCCCCTTATAAGAAGAGCCAACGTCATATTAGTGCACAAACTAATTATAATGTATATAACACACATAAAACATCCGCAACTACCAAAAATAGCTTGTTGCTAAACAAAATTAGTTATCCGTAGCAACCAAATACAAAAATATCCACTTTCCCAGATTCTAAACAACATATTATCTATAGAACGTCTCAATAAATGTCCAATCATTGTTAACATACTGGGCAGAATAAACGCAACAATGCAGTCTGCTGCGGCTTCAGTCTTTAACTTCAAAATAATGGGTACAATATTTTATTCAAGTGCAACTGACGAGACTGTTTATTAGAGCAGAACAAACCAGAGATTGGCAGCTGCACTTATATTGTGTGCGTCAATTGTTACCACATTTTGATGCATTAGCTCACTTGTCTTATGCGAAATCCGCGTACTTATAATTACAACAAATGTAAGTGACATTCGCGATACTGACATCTTTATCGGATGGATAAAAGACAATGAACCATTTTGTGCAACCTAAATTGAACTTATCTTTCTTTCAACGGTATAGTGGGCAATGAAAAAATTAACTGAGATAAAGCAGTTGATAAATGCTATGAACAAAATGGTTGGAATAAATTTTGAAAATAGTCATTTAAAACGGACGGGTTAAGTTTTATCCTTAGGTTCCTTGACGGCTTCATAGAAAAAAGTGAAAGTTCATAGAAAAAAAGTAATTATTACTATGCTGCTTTTTAATCGTATATTATGTCCAGTCAAAACAGATAAAGTACTTGAAGCATAATAAAAGTGCGAGTTAGCACTGAGGCCTCCAACACAATTTGATGAGTCGCTTTTAGGTGAAAAAATTCAAAAACAGTTCTATGTGATGCAATAGAATCACAAGTGCCGTGTGACAACACAACACTTGTCTCAAAATTTGTCATTAATGAAGGGTATTTACTTCACTACATTGTATGGATGAAACAAGCAGCATATAAAGATATATATAAATGTTATGTATTATATGTGCTATATCAATGTGGGAAAAATTGTTGGGTTTTTTTGATGGCTATTCTGATAGTCAACCTATTACCAAATAATAAGAACACAAACGACGCCAGTCCAAACCAAATCCAGTAGATGTTATTTTTAACGAATTAGTAACAGTTAATTCAACCTAAGCAAACTTTTTTCATATTTTTGCAACAAAACTAGATTCATTGAAACCCTATCGGTGTGCCTTGCAGATTTTAGAGCTCATGTTAAATGTGAAAAAGGATTGGCTTATACGTGCTTTGAATTACTTACAATAAGTAATTAACAACTCATTAGTAGGCATACTTGCGCAAGTAAAAGAATCGTCAACTAAGTCAATCTGCATTACGCCAACGAAACAAGTCGTTTCGTTGAAAGAAAAAGGTTGGTTGACATGATAGCTAACCGTGTTTAGCCCGAAAAAAATAGACTTGATTTTTTTATCACTCAATGTCAGTTAAATGAGAAAATCTAACTCTTCTGGTTCTTTTCTTTAAAGAGTAGAAAGAGTACAATTGGTTCACTTCAGGCCTAATTTCGAACTAGCAAATATGGCGGTTTCCTATTGGCAAATTTATTGTTAATATGTTAATGCATATATTAATACTATACGAAGAGCTCATTTACCAAACGCGTAACTTGCCAGTGCTAAAACTAAGTAATTTATTTTTGATTAACTAACGGAAAAGGCAACTATATATAGTTGCACATCAAAAAAGATTTTTATATCTATTTTTACGATTAAGAGTCTTTTAATTTGTCTAATAAATTTTAATACAGGGTTAATTGACCAAATTTTTTTTTTTTTTTTTTTTAGCAATATCTTTACAATTTAGTTTCTAAACAGAGTTTAACAAATATACGACTAAATATAGCCTATACGACTAAAGGTAAACGAATTTGTCAAGAATTCAGGCACTTTGACCTAATTTCAACCGAAAAATTTATAGATTCTGGAATATTGCAAATCGAAAATAATGCAAATACTTAAATTATAAATTATAACTTAGATTACAAGGTTAACTCTTAATTCAATTTAAAAACCATAAAACTAAATATTACAAGTAAAAAATATTTTAGCGCTAAATATTCAGCTTTTATTTTTAAAGTCACTTATCATTAAGCAAGTTTTATTAAATGATGTAAACCTATTGAAATAAAAATGTTAGATTTTCGGATGTATGAATTAAACTTCTGGATGCATAATCGAAACTAGTTCTCTCTGCCGGGTGCAGCTAAGTCAAAAATACAACAAAATGATTCGGCATAATCTCGAAGCTAAATAATATTTTTTAGAAGTATAATAACAACTTTAAAACATAACATTGTAAGTAATTTATATTTACTATTTTTCACCTTTAAACGAAAAAAAATTTATCATGGACAAGCAATCAAATAAGAAAAATTAGCAAAATTGTAAAAAAGACATAAAGAAATCATAATTAGATAATAATCACCATAATTTAGTATGACATTGTTGTCTTGAATAGTGAAACCGAATCTTATTTAAACACGACTGTAATCGTTTCGAAGAAGTTAATGATCACAACATCCATTCCCAAAATTACATGTCAAGGAACAAAAAATTAATAGACACTTCATGTTGATTAGCTTTTAGCTCCCTGACATGTAAACAATGTATTACTACAACTTGATCATTTCAGCATTATCTAAAATTATAAAAGGTAAATGAAAAAAGTAAATAAAAATAATAAAATCAATATTTTTGCAGTGAGAAACTTATATTACATTTACATTAAAATACCATTTCAGTTTATTCTTTTTTTCCACACGTCAAAATTAATTCATTATAGACACTCAAAATAATTTAATTTACCTTTATCTTTTTTTTCTTCTTCAAATGTATAATTGAAAAAAATGCTTAACTTAAAATTCCCTCATATTGCTGATTTATTTGTTTTATCAAGACCTACTTTGATTCAAAATTAGAAAAAAAAATCGCAGGGTAAGATATATAATATATATATATATATATATATATATATATATATATATATATATATATATATATATATATATATATATATATATATATATATATATATATATATATATATATATATATATATTATATATATATATATATATGTTATATATATATATATATATATATATATTATATATATATATATATATATATATATATATATATATATATATATATATATATATTTATATATATATATATATATATATATATATATATATATATATATATATATATATATATATATATATATATATATATATATATATATATATATATATAATATATATATATATAATATATATATATATATATATATATATATATATATATATATATATATATATATATATATATATATATATATATATATATATATATATATATATATATATATATATATATATATATATATATATATATATATATAAATGAAGAGGAAAAAATGTAAACAAGCTAGTATTTACTTACTATTAATCATATTTATATTATCACTATATTTTATATAAAATATTGTACCAATAGTATATAAATATATATATAAATAAGTCTCTCTCTATAAATTTATGCTAAATATATAAATATAAATTATAATATATAACTATATAAACACAAAAACTTTATTTTACACTAATAGTTTATGTAAAAACCATATGTTGAAAAGTATTCAATGTACTAATAACATTGTTTGCACCTAAACTGTTCACTTGACTTGAGTTTCTTGTTGAGACCAGAACAATAAGACTGATACCAACCATTACAATGATCGCATTGAATCCAAGGAACTGTTTTAGTTCTTTTTTTAGGAGGATCAACAAAGCCACATTCCTTGCAATTGTCATTTTGTTGAAATTGGCCTATACTACTTTCTGTTGTACTATTTGGCAGAGATTCTGAGATCTTTCGCATTAAAGATGATGGCTTAGTTGTTTTATTACCAAACATTTTAAATGCTCGCTGTTTGGTCGCAGCTGGCCTGCCACGGACCTTTGGTATTCTGGCAAAAAATAACTCTTCTGTAAAAGGTTTCTCAAAAGAACACTGCTCATTAGATTGAGTTATTGAAACAACATTTGTTTGAGCCTCAGTAGTTTTAACAGTTGATGCAACATCAGTTATTGCAACATCATTTATTGCAACATAAGCTATTTCAAAATCAGTTACTGCAACAACATTTGATGCAACATCACTAGATGCAATAATGGCAGTGTCAACACTGCAATTAACAGTTGGTTGGTTGTCAGAAGCTTTAACATACTTTGACAAATCTGAAACCAATGCATTGTTGTTTAATTCAAAATAAATTGACTCAATGTTTGTTAAAGCATTAAGAGCTTCTTCTGGAGTATTATTAAAAATAAGTTTTTGCAGACGTTCCATACTTTCGTAATATAATGGAAATGAATTCTGTGGCTGATCAGCTACAAACGATGCAATTTCTTTCATTAACAACATTATGGAATTGAATCTTGAGGAACGTGACAAACTTGGAGTAACACACGATATAGAAATGGTAGTGTTTTGTGAAACATTGGCCAAGATTGGTGTATTGGTAGACAAGAGCCACCTGCATTTTTATACTTAAATAATCATTTTTAACAATATTAAATGTACTGTCTAAAATAAAAATATAAATAAAAGCTCAGTCACTAAGAAAACCCCAAAAAAAAGCAGGTAGGATTCATAAACTAAGTTTTGTAAAATTGTTATGTTATATAAAAGCTAACTGATAGCTATTTAAATTCTATTATTATTATTTAAATGCTATATTTGAATGCATTTAATTTAAATGCTAGTAAATTACCTACATATACATCTACAGAGAAGGTAAATGATTTAGGATTACACTGAACAACAGTTTTATTGATGTTCAGTACAAGGCCTAAGGTTATTTTATCACATATTATGACATTAAATACCACATGTGATTAAATTTAAATATGAGTTAGACTATGATAAGACAAAGATAAGTTTAAGAAAAATATTTTTATTATGACTACCTGACGCTTTCCTTTTCCTCGAGATTTAATTGCTCCAGAATGCTTGCACTCCCAGTTTAATGACTGGTACTGGATTTCTAATGGGAGCTGGCTATTAGGGGAAACCTAAGCGAAGAAAAAAAATATTCTAATTGCACTAAAAATTACAAAAAGAGCATGACGAAAGAAGCGTGTAAATTTTGCCCCCAGAAAATCGCCTATCAAAATTTTTGCTTTTTAATCAGTTTGTTATTAAATATCACCTCGAAATCTACCGGAATGACATGAAAGAAATTCAGATGTTTATGGCCTTTTTGAAGTCATTGAAAATGGTGAAACAATATTAATTGAGATTCTAATCAAGGATCAAAGCTTATGTTCTTTAATTCGACCAAACAACATCAACATATTGCATTGCGGATTCTTTGATTGCATTGAAGAGCTTAACCCTTAATCTCAGCACTTACTTTTTACCCTTTAACACCACCCTTGGCTGCTGCAGACAGTAGAGTAAATATACAGTTTTAATGGATTAATTTGATTAAAGTTTGTTAAGAATTTATTAGTTTTTGCATCTTTAATGTGATATATAAAGAACTTGCACTGGGGGGTTGTGTTGCTCAAATAAGAAAATACAATTATTTTGCAAAATGGGATTAATTATGTTGGGGAATATTTTAGAAGCCTGCATAGGGAGATTTGAGTATAAGACCTATGTTTCAATAATAATAAAAAAAACAGTTTAGAAGATTTAACTTTTTTAGGACTTTTAGCCACGGAAGAAAAATTCTGGCCCACTGTGCAATGGTATAAAATTATACAATAAATAACCAAATTAATTGAAGTTGCTTTACAAGAAGGGATTCAAAGAAAAAGGATGTTTATAAATAGTAGTTTGCAGAATTTGAACTCTCTTTATTGTGATTTTTTACTATAATCTTAAATAGCATTTAAATAAGCTTAATATATTAAATAAATAAATAATAACTTCCATGGATATACAATATATTGCAAATGCTATAGTAAGAGATATACCCCATATAAAATAATATAGGTTATCAATAATATGTTTATTGCACACACTAGTTACTAGTATGTGCAAAAAACATATTATCTACTGTAATCAGTTTCTTTACTAGTCTAGTAAAGAATAGTAACAATATATTTCCAGTAAAATTATTACATGAGCCACATAAATAAAGTAATATTTACACTGGATGGTTCACCCTCAAATAGTACTGCTAAAACAAGGACAGCGACCATGAAAATTGAAAAACATATACATAACAAAAAAATCACATACTTTTAAGATTAAATATTAAAACCAAGATTAAATATTAAAAATTTTCAAGATTACATATCTGAAAAACAAAAACATGGATAATCAAAATAAAATAAAAAAATGAAAAATAATAAAAAAGATATACTTCAACATAACAACCAATAAAATTGTTGTCTCATAAAAATTCTTGATTTATAAAATAGGATTTGAGTTTGTTTTTTAGTTTTTTTAACTGGTAAAATAGACAATCACTAAACTTAGTTTGAAGGTGATTCTAGTCTTTTATTGTAGAGTGCATAAAGGAAGATTTGCCAAAAAATTTAGTATTATACGATGGAATGAATAATCCACCTCTATGTGAGATTCTTGTCAATTTAGTATGCAACTTATTTATTAAGGAGAACCATTCGCTAAAAATAGATGGAAGCATATTATTTAGGCAGCCATGCATAAACAGGTAATTAGCAATTTTGATGTGGTCATAAAAACTTATAATTTTAAGGTCTTTGTAAGAACTCTTAGTATAGGAATTATGAGGTAGGAATTTAATTATCCTTTTAGTTCTTTTAGTATTAATAGTATTAGTTTATGTTGTGAATGGTATTGCTACCAGTGAGTGTGGTTTTAAAGTACACTATGACAGCTGAGTCTTGTGATGGTTTGACTCCAAACGATCAATTCTTGCTTTAAATAAGTTGACTGAATTAGCTTTAACGACGTTTTCTGGCAGTGCATTCTAATAATTTGCAGCTCGATTTAGTAAAATATTTTCTCTATATTTATGTACAGAAAATTCTTTAGAATACTTTAGGTTATGACCATATTTTTTTAAAAAATATTTACTTGTTTTAGAATGGGTGAATTTTGCCTCGAAGATAGGCAGCAATATGTTAGGTGAGAGTTGAATAAAGCAAAACAAATTGATTTTAAAGTTTTTTCATTAGCATAATATCTTAGTTTAGATAAGATAGCATTGGATCTGTTTAGTTTAACTGATAATTCATTTAAATGGCATTTCCAAGTTAAACTCTTGTCTATTTTTAATCCAAGATAGTCTAAACTCCTTTGAAGAAGGAAAGAAGGAAGAAACTGATTACAGTAGACTAACAGTTATTGGAATCACTGAAAATTTATCGTAGTTTTATAAGTGTGGCACATAAAAAGATACAGTTTTAAATTTAAACTTTGATTAACACTTTTTGCTAACTGGTTATTACTAGTCTACCATTTTTTTCGCAGTCAACATGTTGATGTTTATAAACTATGCATGCATCTGTCATAATTCAATAAAGTCATTAGCTTTTGCATTACATAGAAGCACTAGAAGCACAATGCAGGCTTTTTAAAGTTAGTATTGCATACCAACTTTAATGTATTTACCAATGATTGGTAAGCACATTAAAGTATTGAATTCCAAATTGAGTTTAAATTAAACTAAATTAAGTATGCAATACTTGCATACCTAACGTCACTTTCTCATAACACCATAAGTCACTTTCTGAAACTCATAATACTATTTTTCTGCGACTCACAGAAATATAACATTTAATGTCATTTTATGTCAGAAATAAAACAGAATTCACTTTTTTCAAAAAACACTTACTTTCTTATTATAAGACACAACTGTTACACTATTTCTTTGACGCAGAGGATGCCAATGAGCTTTTGCAAACTGTGCAATAAATTCTTGTGCTTCAGCTGCTGTTTGGAAGCATTGTCCCTTATGTAACTCCATTTTCTTTTTTTAGTTTTAAAATGTTGATGATAAGTTTTAAATTTGTGTTTCACCGAGTTTTGCCTCGTTTTAAGTCGCTTGACTCATCCTAATAAATTACCGCCACTCTAGCAAATTTCTCACCTTCAAGTGGCGGTATTTACCGCCGCAATAGATTTATTCATATATATATATATATATATATATATATATATATATATATATATATATATATATATATATATATATATATATATATATATATATATATATATATATATATATATTTATATATATATATATATATATATATATATATATATATATATATATATATATATATATATATATATATACATATACATATACATATATATATATATATATATATATATATATATATATATATATATATATATATATATATATATATATATATATATATATATATATATATATATATATATATATATATATATATATATACTTGATATATTATTAGTATAGTATTGCTATATCAAGAACCAAGTTCTAACAATTTCAAAGATTTAGAAATCTCATGCAGAATCGAATTTTTCTACAGGAAAACCTGTTAATGATACATGGAGCAATTATCCTGATAATTCTTTGAATTTAATGTCTTTACTCTACAATATTGAGCTATTCAATAATGGATCCAGTTCATTAGTTAATGATCTTCTTGAAATATTGCCAAATCAAGGTTTGGAACTTCCCAAAGATTCAAGGAGAATTTTAAAAATACTTTATGAAAAGCGACTTATAGACAGGTTCTTGCTAATTTATATATATATTTTTAAACATTTAATTACTTGAGAATTGTATTAATATTGATACAAATATTGAAATTGATATAGATATTGAAATAAATAGTTAAAAACTAGGTATATGATATACTATATATATATTAAGTATATACTTGACACTTGATATAGTATTTCAAGTATAATAATTGATATACTATATCAAGAACCAAGTTCTGACTGTTTAAAAGACTTAAACATTGCAGAATCTCATGCATAGTCATATTTTTCAAAAGCCTATTAATAATACAGAGAGTTTATGACAGAAAACCTATTAATAATACAGAGAGTTTATGCTGAAAATTCAATATAATTTAATATCTTTAATTAGCAACTTTTAGATTGTTCTGTTCGAAATAATTAGACCAGTACATTAGTTAATGAACTTTTTGAAATATTACAATATCAAGTTTTGAAACTTTGCTAATAACCAATTACTTAACTTTAGCAATTAGTTATATAGTGAAGTTCAAAAGTTTTGACTAAAAAATAAGTCTTATTGAAAAAATTAAACCAGTCGTAACAGTTATATAAGAGACAGGAGGGTATAAAATTTCCTTTACTCTAAAGGAAATTTTTTACCCACCTGTCTCTTATATAACTGTATTACTTGTTTAATTTTTTTAATTAGGCATTTTTTAGTGACTTATCCTACTCTTTTATTATCTGATTATCTAAAAGTATCCTTTAGAAGATAGATGTAAATAATTTTTCTCTTTTATCATTCTTTAAAAGTTCAATATGATTAATTTTAATTAAAATCAATATTTATATTTATTGTATGATAAAATTTATATTTTAGTAACTTATCCAACTTAAATAAGAATAAGAAAAATATATTTAAAGATTGAATTGATTTAATATTTTTTTGAAATGATTTTTTATAATGATATTTTGTAAATTTATGGTTTTAGTTTTAGTATTTAGTAAAAAAATATATAACACAGAAAAATATTTAAATCAAAATTTCAGTGGAGCTTTATAGGCATTTTAGGTCATTGCAGTTTTGGTCATCGTTTACTTAATGGCCTATTAGTTACAATAGCCAAAAGTGCCTAACATATGAATAACCACTATATCACGTGTTGGAATGTTATTGGCAAATTAAAGTAAATAGATTATACTTATTAACAAATTAAAGTAAATGGATTATAATTATTAATAAAGAAATTATATAGTCCTTTGATTGATTGCAAACCTATATTTCTATTATATATATATATATATATATATATATATATATATATATATATATATATATATATATATATATATATATATATATATATATATATATATATATATATATATATATATATATATATATATATATATATATATATATATATATATATATATATATATATATATATATATATATATACATATATATATATATATATTATATATATATATATAATATATATATATATATATATATATATATATATATATATATATATATATATATATATATATATATACATATATATATATATATATGTTTGCAATAATTTGTCTACATCAATCAAAAGCAAAAAAAAGTAATTCAAAAGTCTTACCATTAAACATAGAAACAAGGTCAGCATTATTTGTCGACCTCAAACACTTTTAGGTTGGCATTGCTGCATGCTGACCCTAATTCTAAGGATTGTATACATATATATGTATATATATATATATATATATATATATATATATATATATATATATATATATATATATATATTCATATATATATATATATATATATATATATATATATATATATATATATATATATATATATATATATATATATATATATATATATATATATATATATATATATATATATATATATATAGTAATACGTTAATTTATAATAATTTTTCTGTTTTTATTTAAAATTTTTTGAAAAAAATAAGATTCTATTTTCAATGTAGTTATTTTCTCCTTAATTCTGCTAATTTTTCTTTCAAAAAAATTAATTTCGTGACCAAATCTCTATAAATAATAGAAAAATGTCTCCTTAAAATCCTTACTTGTAGCGTCAGTCTTAATAATAAAAATACAAAATATACGTCAATAAATAAAATAAAAATGAATTGCTGAAATTTAAAGTTATTAGAATTAATTTAATTTAGTATTATTAGTTATTATTAGTTAAAATTAGTAGAGTTTGTAGTATTAGTTAAAATTTTGAAATAGATAGTGTCAAATATCAATTAGATAAAATTTAAAGTTGAACAGAAAAATTAAAAAAATAAAAAATAAAAAATGCTAATGCTAACAAAATAACACTCTTAAGAATATTTTTTTTTTTTCCATAAATTTATTTACATGTTGATTAAGATTTTATTTTTAGGAGCGTCAACTACATCAAGTGTCAGTTGATATATATGTTTTGGTCAAATTCATGTTTGTATTTGGTAATATTATGTTACATTTTTGTTTTGTAATTTAAAAACTTATATTGCATTTATTTAAATATGCATTTAGGAATCTAGAATTGATGTGTTTGTAGTTTTTGTATCTAATTTTGTTTTAAATTAAAGAAATTTTATTTGATTAAATGTATTTAACTCTAAAGTTCATTTTTATTTTTGCCTTCGGTTTTAAAGAAATAGAACGGTTTTGGCTATAGTTCATTTTATGAAATGGTTAATGTAATATAATTTATTTTATGTAGTATGCCTAATGAACTTTTATTAGTAACAACTTCTTTAATTCATTTAGCTCCTCCAAAATTTGAAAGTCTGTGATTCAAAATTTTGCTTTTCCCAAAACAAAGTTAAAGAAAATATATGAAGTCAATGATAAATCTTAAAGTTTTACAAAGATTAATTTAAGTAATATTTTTTCTTGTAATAACTTTGAAGTTATTTTAACTATCGAGACCTTTTATCTTTATAAATTAATTTTTTTAATACTTCTCAATACTCAAAATAGGTACCTAATCAATTCAGCAAGAAAAAAAGAACATTTAAGAATTTCCTTTCAAAAGATGTAGTTAGTAAAATTTTATGTTAGTTATATATATATATATATATATATATATATATATATATATATATATATATATATATATATATATATATATATATATATATATATATACTCTTTTTAATTTACTTTAACGATCTTCCAGATATTATCACATCAAAGGTGGCATTGTTCGCTGACGACACTACTATTTATTCTTGTCATGATAAGAAGCAGAAACTCTCTGATTGCTTGGAGTTGGTATCTGATCTTGAAAAGGATCTTACCTCTGCTACAGCATGGGGCTCACAATGGCTGGTGAACTTTATTTCAGATAAAACTCAATTTTTTTCGGCCAATTATTAACGCAACAATTTAGATCTTTCATACTTATGAATGGTAATGAACTAGATGAGTCATCTACCTTTCATATTCTAGGATTAACTTTTACTTCTGATCTTTCTTTTAAACCGTATATCAAATCCATTGCAAAATTAGCATCTCCTAAGGTTGCATCTCTTTATCGAGCTCGATACTTCCTTACTCTAGATTCTATTCCCTATCTCTATAAATTTCAAATCCGTCCCTGTCTGGAATACTGTTGCCATATCTGGGGCAGATCTTTTATTGATGCCCTTTCTCTTTTAGACAAGGTGCAAAAACGCATTGTAAACATAGTTTGATCTGCTTGTGCAGCCAATCTCCAACCATTGTCAACCATCGTCGTGATGTTGCTTCTTTTTCTCTTTTCTACAAATACTATAATGGGCACTGCTCTAAAGCTAGTTTTTTTCTTCGAACATCAGTTCTTTGGAATTTGCTTCTTTCATCTTGCTTCCCTGATTCATATAATTTGCAATCTTTTAAGTCATCTGTCAATCATTATTCTGCTCTACGAACTTAATCTTTCCTCTTCCAATAACTTCCAAACTCTTATCGTGGTTGTTTGCAGCCTTGTTGCGAAGCGAAGGTGTAATATATATTTTTTTCTATTATAATTTATATATATAAATTGTAATAGCATATTGTTTTTCAATTAACTAATGTATATTTTTTAATTCATTTACTTACTTATCTTAAGAATAATGAAATATAAAAAACATTTAAAGTTGAGAATAGTTTTGATCTTTACTAGTATGATTCTATCGCCAAGTTTCTTAAAGGTGATCAATCTTTTCTCGATACTAATGTTGCAAAAAGTAGTATATTTTTTATCATGGTTAAATGTTTAGTTTTATTTT